ATAGGTCTGATAAATTACACATAGAGAGCAGTCTGTAGATGCTTTCAGCTTGAAAATCTTCCGAGATTCATTAACCCGATGTTGTTCACTTCACTGACCAAAGCTGACAGGAGAGAATTTCAGCAAAAACTGAAATAATGACATAATGTAAGTACCTGAAATGATGTAGGAGTGACTTTGACAGTATCACAGCCAGACTTTTTTGTTTGCTTTGCAGAGTATTCAGACCAAATTTTGCTCCTTGACCTGTGACGCTGTGAGTTACCTCGGTGATGGCCTCAGAGGATTAGGATCAAAGCTTTTGAGGTCTTCACAAATGTTGACATCATGTTCAGAGTGCCCAACGCTGTTTATTGATGCAGACACAGTGAGTAACTGGAGAGTTTCCAGTTTCTAATACTTCTTAACAGTATGACATGTTAGTGGAAGTTGAACAAATTCAACAATAAAACTCTGTTTTCACAGATTATGTCGTATGGGCTCCTGGAAAAAATGAAATTCAGCGTGTTGGAACTTCAAGAGTATCTTGATACTTACAACAACAGAAAGGAGGCAACTCTCACTGTAAGGAGATGAATATTGTGATTTCCAATCTGAATGTCGTCTGTATGTTTGACATCAAGTTGTTTACATTGTGATTATGTTGTCTATGTCACCCACAGTGGTTGAGCAACTGTAAGGCAACCTTTCCCAGGAGTACTGGGGGCACCGTGATAACATGTCAACCAGCAGAGCATGAGGAAAAGGTAAAACCTTTTTTTTGGGGGGGGGGGGATTTGAGTAATGACTCAGACATGCTGTCATATCAATTGAATGTAAAATGATAGTTCAGAATATTCTGTGATCAACTAATGCATCCAGCCAGTGTGCAAACACACAAAAGGTTGTGTAATTAATATAACTTTAAAGATGTAAAGAATAAAATGACTGAAAATACTAAAAATTCTACTTCAACTGACCTTTCATACTGTACTTTCTGCATTACGATTACGTGTGTGGTACTGTAGCTCTGTGAGTGTTACCTCTCATTTTCTCACACTATGTAAATATCAAGTTTCTGACAACCTTGAGTTGCCGCACGTCACATTGAGTATCTCATTCTAGTGTGCATTGTGATTATTTTCAGCGCTGCTGGGCATGGGAGCAAGCTCTCTTAAGTTGCGTTTGATCTAGCAGTAAACGATAACGTTCACTTCATAGCTGAAGAAGGAAACAGCAAAATGGAAAGTTTTGCTGTTAAAATGTTGGTACTTAATAGCTGAGAGATTCCCACCAACGTGACTGCATCTGTGCTAATTAACAGGCAAAATTGTGCTTGGCTTTTTTTTCACTTGGCTTTTTAATTAAAGGGGTCCTGTGGAGCTTTCTTGTTTACATTTAGTGTAACTCAGCAAAACACTTTGTGTGCATCCTTGAGCTCTAACAAACGTGTCAAGTGCATTTCCTCTCTCATGAAGCATTTTCAAAGTCTAGTAGTTTGGGTATTTAAATCCAGCAATGTTTACATCCATATTTGCTAGCTTGCAGTCTTCTTCTTTCTTGTCTTTGTTGTAGCATTGCAGCGTATCTTGGCAAATTACTGCCACTGCTATTCGTAGGACTGTGTATCGCGTCAGGTGCGCGTGTGTCCTCGTGTGTGCAAGTTAAAGAAAACAGGGACCAACTCATAGAAAAACAGCTGCATGGCACTGCTAGAAGTTTAAAACTCCACAGGGAACCTTTAATTCATGGCGACTACCAGCCCTCCTTCCAGTTCTAATTTACACATACATTGACTCACTCACTTTTCTTCCTCTCTGCATGCCAATAAAATGACCTGTGCTAATACTTCTCACCCTCTTAAATGGAGATAATGAGGAATTGCATGCCCTTCTTTTGATTCTCTGTTTTCCCGACTTCTTTTCTGTCCTGTAACATGCTTGCTTTGTAGCAAATGGAATCTCTGGCTGTAAGTTGTAAAGACTTGTTCCTCTTTGTTGTTTGAAATTGCCCTTCTCTGCTTTTAAAAGCACAGCTTCGTCTTACTCGTGTGCCATCTTCAGCACTTGTGTAGTCTTCTGCATAACTGCAACCACTTTGAAATCTATTTACAAGTAGTTCTAGAGTAGTAATAAGTGAGTTAATTGTCCACCAGATGAACTCTAAAAATACCTGATAAAGTATAAAGTAATACCTAAGAAAGAGAAACCTAGTCCAATCAAAAGTAATTTAGCTAACAACCACTTTTCTCTTTCTTTCAGCAACTGGAGCTTTGTCAAAGACTCTACAAACTCCACTTTCAGCTGCTGCTACTTTTTCAGTCCTACTGTAAGCTGATTGAACAGGTCCACGCAATAAGCTCTATTCCCGAGGTAGGTTCATCATGCATTTTCTTGTCCTCTCGTATTGGAAACATGACACCCACCATCTAATCCATGTCCCTGTTTAATAATATTAATCCCTCTCAACCTTTAGCTGACAAACATGTCCAGAGAGCTAAATGAGTTGAAGAGCAACCTGAGGTTAGCAGCAGCCTCAGTCACAAATGATGAGATTGCTGGCCGTAAGATCTCCTGCTCTGAGCCCACATTCAACTCCTCTGAGGCCGCTGTTCAGGCCATCCTGGAGTGTCTGAAGAACAATGGGTTTCCGACGGCCATCCGCTACATTCGTGAGTGCAGGTAAGAAAAGAAAAAGGCGCATTTTTTCTGTATATGAGGAGTAAAAAAATGCCCTCAGTCAGACATGTAACATTTTCGTTTTTTATTGCAGAACAATGTGGCCGAGCGACATCTTTGGCAGCCCTTCTGAGGATGAGGTCCAGACTTTACTCAACATCTTCTTCAGACATCAAACCTTGGGTCAGACAGGAACCTTTGCTCTGGTGGGCTCAAAACAGGACCTAACAGAAATCTCTGTCAAATTGATGGAACTTAATGGAGAGATTCGGGACATGATCCGGCGAGCTCAAGGCTACCGAGCCATCACAGCTTTCCTCCCAGACTCCAGGGTTTCAGGCTCAACTCTTTGATGGTGGTCCGGCAGCGTGTGACACTCATTCCTGCTGGTCCTGTCTGGGGTTGCTGCTATCATCTCAGTGGTTAACAAGCACTCTGCTCTCTCCTGGGAATAACCAAACCCCCTTTCCTCTTCTTGCTCAGAGCACATCAGAATGTCATAAAGTCTTTAGATGTGCAGCAATACTGATGTTTTTTTTTTTTTAGAAAGATAAGAGACTTTGCTGTTGGAAAGAAACTTAGGCTTTTATTGCACTAATAATAGAAATATTGTCACAAAGCGACCACTTGCTACTGAGATCAACAACTTTCACATTTAACAAATGACATACCAAAGCTAAGTGATTATCTTTCAGTTATGTTGTTTTAATTGTCAAGGGAAAACGTGCAATCCTTCACTAAAGTGGAAGACTTTTACTGTATCCTGGAAGAATGTATTTGAATATCATAGCATTGGAAAACATTGTTAGTACATAAAAAAGGGAGGCTTCATTACTTGGTAAAAGTAGTGCGTCTTTTTGTGTGTGTATGTGTGTGTCTGTGTGTGTGTGTGTTTGCGTGTGTGTGTGTTGTGTGTGGGTGCTTGAGTGTGTGATATAAACCTGACGACCATCGCAGATGGAATTATGGATACTGATTTATATAAATTGTTCACATTTAACTACATCAACATGCTGCAAAACTACTGTAACGTCTCCCAAACCTACACTACATGCTGATGTGTGGGTTATCTGTTACGTAAAACATCTTACTGTACCTTTTAACTGTGCAGCTTTTAGCAATTAGGTAAATTATTTATATTATTTGCAAGAGAAAAATGTGCTTTTATCAAACTAGATTTATAGAAAACAAATATTTTGTTTCATCTGTTAAACCTGCCAAGCTTGCAAATCCTATGTACTATAAAGTGTAATAGTAATGTTTATGAACAAATACAGAAACTATTTTAACTGAATAATTGTACATAGTGCAATAGGGGCTTTGCTCAGACTCATAAGATTGTATTTTTATGGACTTACAATTTGAGTTACATGTAGAGTGAAAGAGAAAGCTACATATTTGTAAAGCTTCCACAAGAACTGTGTAGCCTCTCGCCTTGTAAATACTACTGCCTTTGCAATGTACTGTAATTTGGTGTTCTGTACACTCATGTAACAAGAAAAATAAAACTTACATTTGTTAACTGTGGTTTTATGTTGTTATTTATGTGATATTATTATTATTATCATTATTATTGTTATTATTATTATGCTCCTTAATGGCTCAAGCCCCGCCAATCAGCCAGTCTGCCTGAAATTGGAAATCAACAATGATTATGATCTGTTATGGCCACATTTTAGACAGTAATAGGTGTTCAATTAAGTTCAGTTAAAAAAGACATGTATTGACCAGATAAATGTCTAAAGATTTGAAAAAAAAACCAATTTATTTATTTGACCTTTATATATTTATATTCAGTTCTTTACTAATGTGCCACAATAATGTAATGTTTTTGAGTTAATCTATGGAAGCTGATGTCTGCCAATGTGACAAAAACAAAAGGATTTTGTTAGTCATAATGAGAAACTTTCTCAAAATATTGACTTAGCATCTCAAAATAATAACTATCTCAAAACAATGACTTAGTGTCTCAAAATAATGAGAACCTTTCTTATATTCAGAAAAGTAAATGACCTAGTATCACAAAGTCATTCGTTTGAGATACTGAGTCAAAATATTGAGAAAGTTTCATTATAATGACTTACAGAATGCTTCTTTTTTTCGTCACATTGGCGGAAATGGGCTTTCATATCAAGCATATTATTAATTTTTATTGAAGAAATGACAGATTCGAGCATAATCTCCACCCACTATTTACAGGGGAATGCTAATAATATTAATAATATTAGACGTATTAAGTCCCCTTTATTGTTGTAAATAAACGTGAACTGAAACGACTCTTATTTTGAAGTCGACCGACATCCGGTACGCGGCGCGCGAGGTTTGTTTTCGTAGCAGGGGAAAACCTTAGCTAAGCTAAGTTAGGTCGGTTCAGTAATACATGAATACATTCATAAAGTGCTACTGTAGTTTGTGCTTGCCGGTAATATTTACATTCGTGTCATTGCGATATGAGAGTCAACACTGTCGTACACCGTCATGGTAAGTTACTGTGACTTAAAGGCTTCTTTAACGTCTGGTTTCTTTTTGTGAATGATGTCAAAGTAATCTGTTAAATCGTGAATTTGTGTATTTTTCTAACATTTGCCACCGCTAAATAAAACGTTAGCTTACGTGACCTTTTCGGCAATTTGTCCTAACCGGTTTCACTATAAAGTTTTCTCACGTTATCTGAAGCTGACGCTAACTAACTTGGCTTAAAAAAAAACATTTATGCCAAGGTATGCCGTGATGAAAACTTTGTCTTCTCAGGTGTGCCACATAGCACATGTTAGGCATTACACATGTCAGCTGGAATGGATTTCCCCTCCAAGAACATGTACGACACACTCAAAGATGAAATATGGAAAGGTAAGATAACAGTTGTCACAATAAAAAATGAACAAAGATGTATCACGTTGCAGGGCTTTTGTAAGGCATTGCATTTTAAAAGGGTTCATGATATAATAAAATCCAGCTGCATAATCACAAAGATAGTTTTTGTGGTGGTTGTATACTTATTACTGATCTTTAAACCATTTTTTATTCCCCCAATTTAGAGCTGGGGCCACTGGATCCGGACTGGTTTGAGGCACTGACAGCTCAAACTACTGACGGGAATGTCTCTGATCAAGATGACCTGTGTGCTAACCAAGAGGGGCATTTTAAAGCCCCTTTTGATAAAACTGCAGTAGACAGTCAGCTGTTTTCAACCCCCAAAGTTTTCAGACACAGTCGGATTGTGTCACCTGAAACTGAGGACGAGCAGTGGTTCACTGCTGAAAAAGGTAATATTTGATTGACGGTGGACATATTTATGTAGTAATATTGGTTAAACAGCTCTATCAGTTACGTAAACTCGTGCCTAACAGGAGTATTGGTGTTTGCATAGTACATTTTAAATTCAGTGTAACTGCAGTAGCCTCCGTGTATCTAAAAATACTGTTTCTTTGTGGTACGTCTTAGAAAAGGAAACGCTGTCATGGATGGCAACACAAAGTCCAAATTTGTTTCACAATGCAAAAGAGGGGTAAGTGCAACAGTCCTGAGACCGTGCTGTCTGTGTTGTTTGAAAGAGAAATTATACAGTGTTTAAATATTATACATTTATTTTTGCATAGTTCTCATTTCAATGGCATCAGTAGAAACAGTGTTTATCTTAAGTTATGTGTCAATATGCTGGAAGATTTTAATTTCCCTTCCATTATTGGAGAGTTAAAGGCATTTAAAAAAGCTGATTAGCAAAAAAAAAAGAGAAGTCCACAGCTAAAATCTATTTGCATATGCTTTTAATTCAGTGTTTATGGGGCTAATTTCATATACATTTTGTAAAAAGTTACGGTTGCGTGCTCACTTCTGCTGGCAGTTTCTGATGTCTGTTTTGTTCTTTGTAGGATCCCAGGTGCAAAATATGGAGGTATTCAGCCTCAAAGTCAGGATAGTTTTGGTGAGTTGCAGGCATATCTGTATTTCATCTGTTTGAATTGATATTTGAAAAAAATATTTAATCATCATTGGGTAATCTGTTGGCTTTTTTCATTTGTACAGGTCTGCTTCATACTCCACAAAAATCCCCAGTAAGTGTATTAAAGCGTAACAGTGATGTTATTTTTCTTTCACCAAATGCCGGCATTTGAATGTGGATATCATCAAGGTTTTCCCTCTTTATATTTTGAATTAAACAGGTCAACTATGCCAAAAATATATCTGAAAGTCTTGGTGCACAGATTCATCATGATATGTCATGGACCAGTTCTCTGAACACCCCACCAGCAATACCATCCACCTTGATTTTAAGTAAGCAAATCACACTAGACGGTTGTTTTTGGAAATCTGTATATGTGATTTGTTAAATAATTAGTGTCTTCTCAATTTTATAGCTAAACCTGATGAGAGTCCCATCCCAGCGAGTGTTTCTGCAGACAAAAATGTTGTTGTGAGTACTCTGCCCAACCTGCTACTGAATGTTAGTCTGTGGTTTTGCTGTATGAGCATCTCAGTATTGATTTCATGTCAGTGACACAGTAGCTTTTATTTGGTTTTTGAGACGTTTAAGTTAAACATCTTATTCTCTATATGTATTATGATATAATATATTGACACTACACATTCATCACATCATATGTTATGAAATATGAATAGATGAAGTAAGAGGGAGAACAAAGACATAAAATATTCACATTGAGTTAATATAACTGTACACAGCTTGAGGCACATATGGGGCACTTTTAGTCACTCCAGTTTTTTATCCTAGTGATCACAGGAAAAAGGGGATATGAAAAAATGTCCATATTTTCCTTTTCATTGTCAGAGACCAGGCAGCATTCTCTGATTTTACACTAAAATGCCTGTTAAAGGATTTGGTTAAATCCATGTTGGAAGCATTGCTCAGAGATTTAAAGAGTGAACCCCAGAAATTATGCACATCAAGGCTCAACTGTGAATCAAAGTAGCTGGAGACGTCATGTACTTGTACAAGGATTGTTTTCCAAGTCTCACTCAAAAGTGGATTATCCAGATATTGTTCCCAGTTAACATTTTTTCTGGTGTAAGCCAGAGGAAACATGCCATTACAGTAAATAATAAGATTCTTTTTCTGTCTTATTTCTCTCAGTTTGTACGGAAGCTTTTCCCTTCTCTTTCAAATTCATCCAAAGTTGGAGTGGTGTCACCCAAAAACGGTGACATGCCTACCAGTCAGCAAGGTACTGTTTATTCTCTATAATTTGCTCATATCCAAGATGGTGCAGTAGCTCTGAATATGAATTACATAAATATTTTGTGTCGCTCAGGCTTTTAGATGCATAATGCAAAATTATACTGATTGCTGGTCTGTAATCAACAGGTGTTTCCCCTGAGGCTGATCAGCATCTAGAGTGCCATACCTCCCCCCAGAGTTCACTGAATCAGAGTGACTTTGTTTGGAGACAGAAGCTACCAGATGCTATTGAGGATGGAGAAATTCGCAGAACCGTAGCAAGTGTTCTTGATGGAGCTGAAGATGTTCTCTCTCTATTTTTCACCAACAGTAGTTCAGCACTGAGAAAAGTAAAAACCGACAGAATCAAAAGAAAGCAAATCATCCCAACAAAAGAACTTGGCTGCACCTCTACAGACGTCTTAACATCAAACAACGCTGCATCCAGTGGACAAAGAACAGCTGATCAGGAGCCTGGCAGACTTCCCTCACCCCCACCTGTGAAAACTGGAGATATTGAAATCACCCAGTGGTCTCCATTGAGCTTATCTGAAATTCCACCTTGTACTGTGGATACCTCGTGTCGTGATAATAGTCCTGCTACACAAATGGAAAACAATATTTCCACAGAACAGCTACAGAATGACTTTGATTCTGGCCAGTTTGTCAGGCCACCTGTTAAAATCAGAGACTATGGATTTACTAAGAAAAAGAGAAAGTTTGTTTACACTGTTGAGACGTCGGACCCGCAAGTTCTAGGGAAGGACACGCAGTCTCAAAAGATGGATTCATCACCGGTGATTCCAGAGTCTGGTAATACATTTCTCATGCATGTTAATTATAAAAATGCTATATTAATGTAAAAAATCCCTTTCTTTACAATGACTAAATTTATAATGTTTAATCATCATACTTTATTTCAGGGCAAGAAGTGAATGTGAAGCAGTTGCTGAAAGCCCCTGATGAAGCAGATTGCATCGGGAAGAATCAGATGCAAAAACAGGGAAATCTCACTGAAGAAAGTCCTCCATCTGTTCAAGCAAAAGTCCAGGAACTTGACATATCGCAGCTTTCCAGAGATTTTGCACAAGACTTCAGTCAAATGTCAGACTCCGGTAAACTGAGTAAAGTAGCAGGGGATACTCCTCAAAATGGCTTCTGTCCATCAGCTTGTCTTTCAGCCATGAAACATGCTAACCAGAAAGCAAGGCAAGCAAACCTTCACTATGACTCTGATGGCGTCAGTACCAGATCTTTTTCCACCACTAATCAACATAGCTCCATCAATGAGGGCACAGGAAGTGACAGTGGATTCCAGTCGGCTGTTGCAGATATCAGTTGTGTGACTGCATCATCATTAGTTCTTCCCAGCTCTGAGAACAATGGTCAAAGTCAACAGTGGACAGGCTTTAAAACTGATATCCACTGGGCCACTCCTTTTCCATCTACAAAAAAAGGAAATGGAAAAGTACAGTCGGATGATATTTTACAAGAAGCTGAAACTGATGCCAATCAGTCCAGTGCAGTCAAGGACAGCCAGACAGTGGGCCCTGGGAGAGAGATTGAGTTGCCCATAGAGAACAAATCAACACAACTAATCAGCAGTGCAAAAATAACTGTTGATAATTGCATTCCACTTAATGGTCAAGTTCATGGCAGCCTGCCAGAGAAAACAACAGTTTCTCTTCCTTCTGTCCATGCATCAGGATTCAAAACTGCTTCAAATAAGGGTATACAAATTTCCACAGCCAACATGGAGAGAGCCAAGCATCTCTTTGAAGACACCAAAGTGGAAAGTTTTAGTGATCAGCCCATCAAATGTGGCCATGGTTCTGAAGATAAACTGCGCATGAGTCATGGATCAGTGAAGAATCCAACCTCTAACTCAAACCAACCTTCTTCAAGTGAAAAATCTGTGGATAGCAGTTGCCATTTAACAGCTTCACAAAAAGCTGATGTGACCGAGCTGTGCACTTTCTTGGAAGAAGCAGATAGCCAGTTTGAATTTACACAGTTCAAAACTGCAAAGCTAAAACAACATTGCCAAGATACTGCCACCTCTGCCCAAAAAGTTGACAAAGAACTTGACCCTGATTTTCTTACGGGTATAGACTTTGATGACAGTTTCAATTCAGATGGTGAACAGCACTTGGCAGTAACTATGATGCATGACAAACTTACCTTAGTTTCAGATGGTAAGCCAAATCCTGAAACATGCATCACAGGTAAATCCACATGTTTGCCATTGCCCAGTGCAATTAAAAAAGAAAATTCCTCTACTGAAGATATGTCTTTCTCTTCAAAGTACATCTCTGAAGGCAGTAGAGGTATTGTGTCAGCTAAAACCAAAAATCTTGACAGAGCTGGGCACACTGAAACAAGCAAGCTGGAAAACAAAAATCCATTGATGCTTGGTGTGGGATTTAAGACTGCTGGAGGAAATGTTTTGAGAGTTTCAAAAAAGTGTCTGAGCAAAGCAAGAGCTCTGTTTGCAGATTTAGATGAGAATCTTGTGACAAGTCAAAAATTCCCGGACAAGCTAAGTAGTGAAACTGATGCTAAAACACAGCAGAAGTGCAGCATGGACAATCACACTGATAACTTTTTGCATCATAAAGAAGATAATTTGAAGTTCACAGGTTATGGTAATGATACTGTGGGCTGTTTTTCCACCATGACGGAGTCTGTCAACAAAACGGAAACAACCAACTTGTGTCAAAGTGGTTTTCAAATGGCCAGTGGCAAGGGGATTTCTATATCAGCAAAAGCCATGCAAGAGGCAGATGCTTTCTTTAAAGACTGTGACGTTACAGAGAGTAACGTTGCCATGTCAGTAAAACAGAAAAAGAACATAGAACCCTTGCCAAGTGTCAGTCATACGAAAAACCTTCAGAAATGTAAAAATGTTCAAGAGATGGAAGTAAACTTTTCTGAAGAACCAGTCAGTGAATTTGAAAATGTGAGTGCTGAGTGCCATACAGAAGTTGTGCAACATAATGTGGAGATTCCCACTTTTGGTTTTAAGAATACGCCAGCTTCTTTACATGGAAACCCATCTTCGTCTGCAAAAGCACTTCCATCTGTCTCATGCACAACATCAAGGAATATTAGCTCCTCTGTCACCAGTGAATTGAGTAATGGTGGTGGATTCTGTACAGCAAGTGGGGAGAAAGTATTTGTGTCAGCTGATGCAATGAAGAAAGCGGAGGTTCTTTTGAATGACATTCATACACCTGAGGACACAAACAAACAACTGAAACAAAAAGATGCTTTAAGAACAGGTTACCTCGCTAATCAAATTCAGGTTTCACCACCCAAGAATGGTGGCTTTCAGACAGCCAGCGGCAGAGGAGTTGCCATTTCATCTGCAGCTCTCAAGAAAGCAAGATCATTGTTGAGTCAGTGTGATGAAGTTGAAGAAAAACCAACACATTCTAAGATGCCAGCTCCTGCTCTACCACCCAGGAAGTCAGTGGCATTTTCATCTGATGCCCTCCAGAAAGCAAAAGCTCTCTTCAGTGACATTAATTTCAGTGCAGAGATCCCAGCTGTTTCAGGCACAAGAAACAGTGACAAGAAACAAGTCAGTGCTGGAAATAAGGAAATAATACAATGTGGTTTCTCGACTGCAGGGGGAACAAAAGTCCATGTGTCACAGAAAAGTCTGCTGAAAGCTAAAAACCTTTTGAAAGAATTTGATGATGGTTCTGTTTCAACAAAAGCAAAGCAAGAAGCAGGTGCTTTCTTTAAGGACTTGGACATTATTGACGGTGAAGATGGCATGCTAGAAAAACATAAGAAAAGTATAAAACCTTTGAGTGGAAGTGACAATGAGAGGAAATTTAAACAAGATCAGAGGGTGAGAAACATTTCTGAAGAACCTGGAAGTGGATGCACTGAGTTTGAAAATGTGACTGTAAGACCAGTTGTGAACCATGAAAAAATGCTGCATAGTGATGATGTAGAGATTCCCAAAGGGGTTTTTAAGAACACGCCAGATTCTACCAATGGAGCATCTTTACACGGAAACCCATATCTGAAGGCACAGACACTTTCTTCCCCATTGTGCACAACATCAAAGAACATTGATGCCGGAGCCATCAATGAATTGAGCAACAGTGGTGGATTTTGCACAGCCAGCGGGAAAAAAGTGTTGGATGACGCTATGACAAAAGCACATTCACTATTGAATGAAAGTGCCACGGTTGATGACACAAACAAAGAGCTGAAACACAAAGTAGAGACCATGCCACCACAGAATGGTGGGTTTCAGACAGCCAGTGGAAAAGGAGTTACTATTTCATCTGCAGCCCTAAAGAAAGCAAAAACTCTGTTAAGTGAATGTGAAGGAGGTGAGGATGAAATCGGTGTAAAACCAACACATTCCAAGATGCCAGTTCCTGCTTTACCATCCAGGAATTGTGGATTTCTTGCAGCCAGTGGTAAGCCAGTTGCATTTTCATCTGAGGCCCTCCAGAAAGCAAAAGCTCTCTTCAGTGACATTCATGTCAGTGCAGAGATCCCAGCTGTTTCCGACACAAGGAAGAGTGAACACAAAGATGCTCGAAATGATACAGAAAAAAATCATTGTGGTTTCACAACTGCAGGGGGAGCAAAAGTCCATGTGTCACAGAAAAATGTTTTGAAAGCAAAAGAGCTTTTAAAAAATTGTGATGATGATTGTATTTCCACAAAAGAAATGCAAGATGCAGATGCTTTCTTCAAGGACTGTGACATAATGGACGGTAAAGAAAGCATGCCATTAAAGCATAGGAAAAGTATTGCACCTGTCAGTGGAAGTGGCAGTAAAAATAAAAACCTCTCAAAATTTGAACAAGATCAAAGGGCGACCATAAACATTTGTGAAGCACCTGGAAGTGGGTGCTCTGAGTTTGAAAATGTGACCGTGGGACCAGTTTTGATCCATGAAAAGATGCTGCATAGTGATGACGTGGAGATTCACAAAGGGGTTTTTAAGAACATGCCAGATTCTACCAATGCAGCATCTTTACACGGAAACCCATCTTTGATATCAAAGCCACTTTCTTCCCTATTGTGCACATCCTCAAAGAACATTGGTTGCTCTGACATCAATGAATTGAGCAACAGTGGTGGATTCCGCACAGCCAGCGGAAAACAAGTATCTGTGTCGGATGACGCTATGACAAAAGCACAGTCTCTATTGAATGAAAGTGCCATGTTTGATGACACAAACAAAGAGCTGAGACACAAAGTAGAGACAGTGCCACCACAGAATGGTGGGTTTCAGACAGCCAGTGGAAAAGGAGTTGTTATTTCATCTGCAGCCCTAAAGAAAGCAAAAACTCTGTTAAGTGAATGTGAAGGAGTTGAGGATAAAATCGCTGTAAAACCAACACATTCCAAGATGCCAGGTCCTCCTCCACCTCCCAGAAATGGTGGATTTCGTGCTGCCAGTGGTAAGCCAGTTGCATTTTCAGCTGAGGCCCTCCAGAAAGCAAAAGCTCTCTTCAGTGACACCAGTTTCAGTACAGAGATCCCAACTGTTTCAGACACAAGAGAGAGTGAACACAGGGATGCTCGAAATGATACAGAAAATATACATTGTGGTTTCACAACTGCAGGGGGAGCAAAAGTCCATGTGTCACAGACAAATCTTTCGAAAGCAAAAAACCTTCTTAAAGAATTTGCTGATGGAGAGTATCATTCAAATTCTAATCTTGCCACAGCCAGTGACAAACAGCCCACAAAGGAAAGTGCCCCTCAGGTGGTTAAACCTTTAACCTCTTTGCAAGTGACTGACAATGAAAATGAAACTGAAAGACTCCTCAAAGAAAAGGCATCTACAGACAGATTTAAGATTGAAGAAGGTAAAATTACCTCATCAGTGGTGGGCAACCTCCATGACAGCCTCGGAGAGGAAATGTCAAGTGTGTCGGACTATGAAATAAATCAGATAAGCAGCAGTGAGGGATCTCAGGTAAAAAAGACAGAAGAATCTCCGGTTCTATTCTTTCAGTCACTTAACCTAAGTGGATGCACTGAAACCCAGCAGAAGTTTCTTGCCCAGGAAGCTCTGGACTGCACTAAAGCTCTGTTAGAGGATGAAAGTCTAAGACTCTCAATGACTTCAGAAAATGTGCCACTGCAAGATAACCAAAAATGCAGCAACAAATCTGTTGAGGAACAAAAAGGGACAGGAAAAAGACTCACAGAGGACCCAGATATGGCTGGTAAGTGTCTGTTACTACTCGGAAATCTAAGTTATATAATATGTTTATTGTTGATAAATTGTTCCCATGTTGCAAAAATACCATTATTTTTTTAAATTATCTACAACAATGCTGGTATATTACCCATATCAATCTGTTACACATATGTTTATTAACCATAAACTGTTTCCTTACTTATTTGAAATATTCCAGGTCAGCCTCCCCTGAAAAGACGATTACTGGAAGAATTTGACAGGACTGTTGATGGTCCAAGAGGTTCAACACTCCGTCCGGAAATAAGCAGTCCAAATGGTAAGTCACTGGCACTGTAACAAATGAAAGAAAGAACACATATTTTGTGTTATAAGTGAAGTAATTCTTGATTTTTTTTTCTTAATTAAGTTGTAATGAAAGACAGGAGAGTTTTCAGATACAGCGTCTCTCTTCATCCAAACATCACGACACCCCATAGGTAAGTTGCAGGTGAATTGTTGGCCATGTTTTCAAGTGGCCTACACAAGTTATCAGCGCCTTGTCTTGTCTTGTCTTTGTTTTGTATCTTACAGGAATGGAATAAATTATGTGGAAACCAGATTGCAAAAGACAACACCAACACGGCACTCAACCCCAGGAGACAGCAGGTCAGCACATTCCAAGATGCCCACGTTTGTTCCTCCATTCCTTAAGAGTGCAAAGACAGAGAGTCGCAAGAATACAGTGCTCAAGGACAACATAAGAACACCTCCTGTGTTTGTTCCTCCATTCAAAAAACAAAGAACTATTGTCCAACAGAGCTCCTCTAAACCACAGGAGGAGGAGGATAAAAACCACCATCTGTTTGTAACGCCCTTCAACAGCAACACTTATGTACCACCCACTAAGAAAACACAAAGCACTACAGATGTAACTGGTAATAAAAGCAAGGACATTCAGACTGTGGCTTTAGCCGATACTACAAATGATAATCTGATTCATAATCAAAACCTTCCTGTGGGTTGTGGATCAGAGAACTCACGTGTGGAGGATACATTGTCCAGAAGCCAAGGTTCAGTAATTCTTTTGGATGAAGTCAGTATGATACACTGTAAATACTCTGCACAACATGTGAATAGTGATGTTTTTGTGATCTACAGACATGTTTCAGAATCTTCCTAACGTAGAGCTGGCACGAGATATGCAAGACATGAGGATCAGGAAAAAGAAGCGCCAGAACATTCGGCCTTTGCCAGGTAGTTTGTTTCTAACCAAAACCTGTGGAGTGTCGAGGATACCATTAAAAGCTGCAGTGAATGGAAAGCCTCCTGCGAGATACACCCAAAAGCAGGCAAGGCCAGAACTGTTTTCTCAGTTGATTTTGATGTATCTGTTTATAAACGAGATCCCTGTGAAGAAAACCACTTTTTGACATGCTCATGTTCTTGTTTTTCAGCTGTATGAATATGGAGTTCATCAGCATGTGTACGAGATCACCAGTGAGACTGCAGAATCTTTTCGCTTCAATTTACAGCAGTTTGTCAAAAAGGAAGCATTTATAGACGGAGGTGGTGTTCAACTTGCTGATGGAGGATGGCTGATCCCCAGCAGTGATGGGACTGCAGGGAAAGAAGAGTTTTATAGGTATTTTTAAATTCTAGTTGAGTTTAAATCAGCCCGGCTTTGTATTGTTATTAGAATGTTTGAGAAACCAGGTGTATGTTGGTATGTGCAAATGCAGACTGCGGGCTAATGGTACTGAATATCGTCTTGTTCCACACTGTCCACAGAGCATTGTGTGACACCCCTGGTGTGGATCCTAAACTGATCAGTGAGGATTGGGTGTACAATCACTACAGATGGATTGTATGGAAGCAGGCCTCCATGGAAAGATCCTTTCCAGAAACAATGGGCAGCCTCTGTCTCAACCCAGAGCAGGTTCTCCTTCAACTGAAGTACAGGTATGTAGGATTATAGCTTGTTTTAGTTCTGCATGTTCCTGTGGTTGAAGTTAATTTCATTGAAAGACATCCACACAAGTGTGTGTGTGTATATATATATATATCCCTAACCTAACAATGGTATTACACATTTCCAAATGCCATTTTGTGCAAGGTTTAAAGGCTTGATTTTAATTAGCTTTTTGGCTAATAATGTCAAGTACAGTGCAATTTTATTGAATCATTATATTTGAATTAGTCACATTACACTTACACTAATTCATACAAATCAATCAAATTTGTTTGATGTTAAATGTCTTTTTATTTAAATGCTTGTTCTAAAGATTTATTTAATTTTATGCATATTAGATATGATGTAGAGGTGGACCACAGTCGCAGGCCGGCTCTGAGAAAGATCATGGAAAAGGACGACACAGCAGCCAAAACTATGGTCCTCTGTGTTTGTGGGGTTGTCTCAAGGGGTCTCTCCCCCAAAAAACACAGTTTTAGTGACATCAAGACTCCAGGTACTGAGTCCAAGGTTGAAAACCCTTCTGCAGTTGTTTGGCTGACAGATGGATGGTATACAATTAAAGCCCAGCTGGATGAACCTCTGACTGCCATGCTGCACAGAGGACGACTGGCTGTCGGTGGGAAGATAATCATCAATGGGGCTCAGCTGGTGGGATCACAAGATGCTTGCTCCCCTCTGGAGGCCCCTGAATCTCTCATGTTAAAGGTATTTTAAGACAGAGACAACAAGTTATTTTATCTGTCCACAAGGCAAACAAATAACAAGTTGGCTTATTATGTGTTCATGTTTTTTAGATTTGCGCCAATAGCAGCAGGCCCACACGATGGGATGCTAAGCTTGGATTTCACAAGGATCCACGACCATTCCTGCTTCCTGTCTCCTGTTTGTACAGCAGTGGAGGCCCAGTAGGATGTGTGGACATTGTCATACTGAGAAGCTACCCCATACAGGTGCGTTTAGTCTTGCATTGATATATTTTTATTGTTTCTCCTGGATGTTCATATATATTCATATGCCTCTCCCATTTTCCAGTGGATGGAGAGGAAACCAGATGGAGGTGTTGTGTTCCGTTCTGTTCGTGCAGAAGAGAGAGAGGCGAGACGATACAACAGCCACAAACAAAAAGCTATGGAGAACCTATTTGCGAAGATTCAAGCTGAATTTGAAAAGGATGAGAAAGGTAGGAAACATGTTTGCAGTATGTTATGTACAGGCTGAAATGGAATACGTTTCAACAAAATGTCATCTTCAGGTAATAACAAACCTCAACGAAGAAGACGGACAATGACTCGTAGGGATATTGCGAGTCTCCAAGACGGAGAGGAGCTCTATGAAGCAGTGGGGGATGACCCAGCTTACCTCGAGGTGATAAGAAATTTACTTTACAGACTTCATTTTTTGACTTAATTTCTCTTATGAATTTTAATTGTACTCTTACTTGTCCAAGGCTAATTTGAGTGAACAGCAGTTGGAGACTCTACGTACCTTCAGGTGTTCTCTGCTGGAGAAAAAGCAGGCTGAACTGCAGGATCGGTATCGACGAGCTTTAGAAAATGCAGAAGACTGCGAAGGTAGCTGTCTGAAGAGAGACGTTACACCCGTGTGGAGACTCTGCTTTGCTGACTCCATAGGCCAACCTGGCAGTGGTGTGTCTTTGTATTTATTTATTTTAGATGTACAATAGTTACTTTAATGTATGTACTCTTGTCTATTCAAATACTGATTTAAAATTGTGTTGTTGGTTTTGTTTTAGTGTACCAGTTGAACCTTTGGCGGCCTCCCTCCGATCTTCAGTCTTTATTGAAGGAAGGCAGTCGATACAAAGTCTATAACCTCGCCACTTCGGATGGAAAGAAACATGGCGGTAGCACAACTGTTCAGCTGACTGGGACAAAGAAAACACAGTTTCAGGACCTGCGGGTACTTAATCACACTCAGTGTACAGATGGAATTATACATACAGTATTTATACATTTAGATAGATGATGGAAATGATTTATAATACTTGTGATTTGTTGAATGATTCAGGCTTCTAAGGAATGGTTAGCAACACGTTTTCAACCGAGGGCCTGTAGCCATTTTGTGGATCTTCAAAACCAAGAATTGCAGCCACTGTGTGGAGAGGTCGATCTCACCGGATACGTCATCAGTATCATAGATGGACAGGGTAGGGGATTTTTTTTTTCTTCACTGTTTCTGCCATAAGTGTATTGTTTACTAAGTGATTGTTTGTAATTTTGAACACAGGTTTCTCTCCAGCATTTTATTTGGCAGATGGGAAACTGAACTTTGTAAAAGTGCGCTGTTTCAGCAGCTTGGCTCAGTCTGGCTTGGAAGATGTGGTAAAACCATGTGTCCTGTTGGCTCTGAGCAACCTGCAGCTGAGAGGTCAGTCCATGTCTCCCACTCCTGTTGTGTACGCTGGAGATTTGACTGTCTTCTCAACAAACCCCAAGGAAGCTCATCTCCAGGAATCCCTCAGCCAACTCAGAAACCTGGTCCAGGTACAGTGCTACAATCTAAAGATATCTTGTTTATCAACGGCCGGATGCTCTCACAAAGTGCTTTGTGCTCTGGAGCAGTCGCATTAGCTACAGTATAATTCCATTAAAGTACAGGTGAATTATGATAGATGAAATTGGAAATGCTGACTGGTAAAAATATAAAGCAATTTTGTCATATTTACTGAGTTAACTTCTAAAAGACGTTGTGCCAGCACTGGAAACGTATTTGTAAAAAAAGAAATGAAATAGCAAAGTTTTAGTATGTGTGGTCTCTCTTATTGACCGCTAACAGATTCAACACTGCATACAGACACATGAGACATACAGAATAATGGTAAAGTGTGTCATATCCTGAAATGATTCTTTAGAAGGGTTAACAGCTCACCGGACGATCTAGAGCTTTCTTATCTTTCTTTTCTCCATCTCCTTGGTTTGGATACAATAAAATGTTAAGATGACACAATAACCACAATTTTCATCATATATTTTCAGGGCCAGGAAGACTTCTTTCTAACTGCTGAGGAGAAGCTGTTGCATTTAGTCAAATCTGATGGCCTTACGTCCATCTCCTCTCCAGCTCTGCAAACACGAACCCCAGCTTCGACAATACACAGAAGACAGGACACAAAGACGAATGTGAGTTTACGGTACTTGCTGTGGTATCTGGGACTGTTTTGTAACTGCTTCCTATTGAAGAGAAAAGCTAACACTGTGTCCTTTTTTATGCAGCTGACGTCTCAGCAGCCAGTCAGAAGCCTTGGATCCTTTACGCCTGTTAGCAGGAACCCTCCTGCAAAAAACTGTTCAACAGAGAAAGACCCTACCAGCTTGAAGAGGAGGAGAGCTCTGGACTATCTGTCTCGTATCCCATCTCCACCACCTCTCCCCCACCTGGGCTCAGTGGTTTCTCCATGTATAAAAAAGACATTCAACCCCCCTCGGAGGTCTGGGACACAAAGCACTTTAAAAACTGCACAGACTCCAGCTCGCAAACCCGTCAGTTCACCGGTGGAAGATGAATGGGTGAATGACGAGGAACTGGCTATGATTGATACTCAGGCTTTGCTTGTTGGTGATTTAGGTACATAAGACTGTATGATGATGATGATGATGATGATGAACACACTAAACTTTTAAAAAACTGTACAAATGAGTGGATGCTAAGGCTAAAAGTCTGCATGTGGCACATATTCTGTGGTTGTTTTTGTAGTCTCTGGACTCATTAAAGAGGTGAAATCACTTCACATCAGTAAAATCATGTCATTACTTCATACTGGTCTTCTCTTCAGTCTACTGTTTTGTTAAGCTGGTTAAACAAATTTAGAATTACATTCCTGCAGTTTAGCTTTATTGTTCCTTATTTGTGCTGTTTGAAGACAAATACCTGAGCTCTGGTCACACCTGTAGATGGTGACATGCTTAGTTGTTTTTTTAATGCAATATTTTAACAACAAAAAACAAAACAAAAAGGGGAATTCTCCTGTGTCATTTTAATGTGTAAAGTTGCTTACTGGCAACAAAAGGTTAATAACTAGTGCATGTTTGATGTGTCAGCTATTAATGTATAAAAATGTTCAAATTCACTTTAATAGCATATTATTAAAGTAAATTGACTTCATAGTCTCACCAAAGGTATACAGATAGAAAACTAAAACCCAGTTTACCATAAAATATATTGGTCTCCTAATAATCCAGCCCACTTCGCTTCCACTATACAGTTGTTACCAAAAGGAGATGAAGCAACACCTTGCATTACAATCCAGTCCAGCTGGTGGCGCTGGCGGACTCAGTACCCGCTTCCACGACCGTTAATGAAGCGAAGAAGAATGACGTAACTTCCGTAAACACAAGGCACCAGAAATGTGGAAACCGTGTGCCGAGTATTTTCTGTTAATGTTGTTTCCCTTTTTTATGCGTCCTGAATATAAACGGTGAGCGGTGCTGAGCAGCGACATTTTCTGTGTGTGTTGCCGTATTGAAGTACATTGTTTCTCACCGTCTTCTGTACAGCTCGGTGACGTTTTCTAATGAATGGCTTGGTTTCGGTTTTAGCTTCACTGCGTGTAACACAAACCATTTAAAGTAATGATTTCTAATATTGTGTGGCCGTGCAGTGTGTTGACTGTATTTAATCTGTTTTCTATCAGATGTCTCACACTCAATCCTCCTCTGGTGGCATAAAAAACCCGTGTGTGGGTGTGCGTGAGAGAGATGACTCTGCTGACAAAGACACTACATTAGTGAGTAATGGCTCCAACAGTCCAGACACAAGTGTGAGGCAGCGTGTGTTAAAGGAGGTAGGACTCACCAGCACCACCTTCATCGGGCCAGCATTTCCTCCAAAGAGAGCCAAAGTCAAGTCTGACTTTGAAGACACACTGAGCGAGTTTTACAAAGAGCTGGAGAAGATCGATACTCCGGATAGTGCTAATGAGAACCCAGGGAGACGAGGTGCAGCTTTTCTTCAGTCTACCGGCAAAGAGATCCAGGAGAAGGCTGTTAAATCTGCACAAACAGACGGCTTCCAGAAAAGCGGTGGACAGAAGCAGGCATCCTGGCCCCACTGGTATCAGAATGAGCCATACCACCACAGAAGACCGAGACCGGGCGTGGACCAGAGCTCTGCTCCTACTCAAAACCAGTGGCCTCATCCTCAAACACCGAACAGACCGCCAAACCCAAGATCTCACAGGCCCCCATTCCATCGCCCACCACCCCCGTCCGTATTCCCAAATCCACAAAACCCATCATCACACAGGAATCAAAACTGGGGCAGTTCTGGTGGGACCAACCAGTATCAGGATGAGTCGCATTTCCAAAGATTTTCCAGCTTCCCGCACCCAATCCGTCACCCCTCTCAGGGCTTTTATGGAGATTCTCCGCCCCACTTTGACAGGGACGAACGCGGTTGTAGCTATGATGAACACTCAGGTAACATAAGCGGTGGATGGTCTAGAGATAGAAAAGAAGAACGGGGTCAGTTGGGTGAAGATTATGATGGACGCCAGAGATATGAGTCAGAAAGTAAACAGCGGGAGCATCACTGCCGACCCCCTGATGAAAGCAATGCATACCATCCTTCCTCGGTGCTGATCTTGATGAGGGGATTACCAGGATCTGGTAAATCAACACTGGCCAGGTACACCTTTGTGCAACCTTGAGTGTGTTTAATTAGTGCACTGTCAGTTTAAAGGAATCTAAAACTACATTTCAAAGCCTGAACGTTTCATTTTCATTGTACATCTTTGTGGCAGGGAGCTGCTCTCCACCGGTCCCAGTGGGCTGATACTGAGCACAGATGACTACTTTACTCACAGAGAGGGCTACCGCTATGAACCAGGCTTTCTCGGAGCGGCACATGAGTGGAACCAGCGGAGAGGTATTGTTCCCTTAAATGTTCACACAGCTTATTTCTAAAAAAAAAAATGTCTCATACACATATGTAGATTGTAGACAGACGAGATGCTGTACAGTGTAGATAGAAACAAGACAGTTCAGTATAGATTATTAGTATTTAAATAGGAAGTAAGT